CTTTATTCGCGTTTATCATAACGCCCGTTAGGATTCTCCAAATTGTAATGGTAAAATTTTTTTGACGGGCAATTTTAATGGTAAACTGACATCATTTTGTCCCTTAACTTTCAATTCTTGTGACTTTGATCCACAAACTTTAGATTTATTCAATTTGATCCGCAATTTTAACTATTTTGTTGCAATATAGTCCCCAAACCTTTGAAAGAGATGCATTTAAATCTTAAAACTTCTAATTTTATGCATTTCAGTCATTTTTGGACTCTTGTGAAATAGGACTTTTATTTATTTTTTTTTTGGGGGAAAGTCAAAAATAATAAATTATTAAATAGAGAATAAGGCGTACTCAATCCCTTACCAATAAAGTTACACCCAATATGTCATTCCCAGTTCATTTCTCATCAACAAGGTTTGTTGGTATGCCCTACCTTTGCAAGACTATAGCTTATAAGGTTTGTCAACATTTCTAACTTTTGGATAACAGAAATTTAGGCGTGCTAATATGCTATGTTTCTCTGGACTTGAGTAATACTATGAACCCTAGGACTTACCAGCTGGTTGGTCCTCTATTTTAAATTCTAGTTCAATTTAAAATTTATTTGTTGGTTTGCTTGTATTGGAGAAGCCTTACGGGTACTTTCAAAGTTTCGAAATCTATGATTCTTATTGTCTCTTACAATGCTGCAGTGTGTCTTTTGGAAGGATTTGTTGACTGGGCACACAATTTGGAGTCTTTAATTATGTCTCCAGATTTTATGGAGTCTTTAATTATGTTTCTAGATTTTATTGATTGATTAGTATTGGTTTCTTTTATAACTAGCCAAATCATTTGATATGATATTTTAAATTACATAAAGCATTTGAGTGGTTTTTTGCAACTTAAACTATATCTTGTTTGCATTTTAGGGTCAACAAGGAGTGCTAACCTTTCCAAGTCGTGCATTTTAAAGTAATGATGTTACTGATGGCAACAATATAGAGCATTTGGATATGATATTTCAAGCAAGGGAGTCAATACCGTACCGGCATGCATACCGATTTTGTGATTAGAACGGTACATATCAGATACCAGAATTTTTCGTGTACTATTTTGGATTTATCACTATAAATATATATTTTTATAAATTAAATATTAAATTTTAAAATAA